CGACGACGACGACGACGACGACGACGACGACGACGATGGCGATGGCGATGGCGATGACGATGATGATGGTGATGATGATGATGATGATGATGATGATGATGACGATGATGATGACGATGATGGTGATGATGGCACACCAATGTGTATCTATTGTTCTTTTTACAGAAACATTGCTTTTGTTATTGCTGTTTTATTAGTCTTTCTTATATGACTTCTCCCAATCCCTCTTTCTCCGCTTCCCCCCTTATGTTTCTTCCTGCATAACCAATGCAATCTATTCGGCGGTAGTAGTTTTAGTAAAAAACGACTTTTTTTGTTAAAATATCGACATTCAGTTGCGAAGTAACAATTGTCGTTTAAGCAGATCATCCGTATTCATTTTTGTTTTGTTCAGTTAGTTATTTTAAATGATTAACTTTGCAAAGGCAAAAAGGAGATGATAGTTGCTTGTTAGGTTAGAAGAAGAAAAAAGGTACGAAACAAAAAGAGGATTTGCTATTGATGGATTAGAGGATAAAAATAAATGAAATTTTGGCTGAAATAAAAAGCGAGGATTTTTTTTTTTCTGAGGGGTTATCTTGGATCTCTGTGCCGCCCGAAATGGTGCTGGTTTTGTTACTGCTGGACACTCGACGACTGGCCGAAAAATGAAAAGGAAAGAAGAACAGAACAAAAAAGAAAGATTGAAAAAAGTGTTGTCGTTTTCATTGCAGTCAAAAAAAAGAAAAAAACCAATCTTTTTTTTTCCTTTCTTTACAGCATTTAACAGAATCTCATGTTTCCTTCTTTTTAACAACAAAAAAGTAGGTTTCATTAAAATCGGAAAACAAGGACGCCACAAACGGGCAAAGCATCGTAATTCAGAATGCGGCGATGATTAGTCCTTTTCTTGCATTCTTAATTTTTATGAACAGAATAAAATTTTAATCCTATTAATTTTTGCTACTCTAATGAAATCTACATTTGCTCTAGTGTATGTCCAAAAGAAAAAAAAGGAAAAATGAAAGAATGAAAAAAATTTTTTACTATTTTTTGTTTTGTAATTTTTTTTTTTCTTCTTCTTTTATGAACAGTACAATTTTTTTTCTTTCCTGAAGAAATATATATATATATGAAAATCTGTTCAGCGTATAGGAAATAAATCTGCTTTGGTTTTATTACTAAATAAAGGACTGATAACTCAACGGTCTGCATATGTGTTACAATTATCGTATAGCTTATTAAGTGCACATGCAGTTCAGTTTGCCACTGTCGATCAAAAATTTTAGCAAAGTTTTTCGCAGTGTTTCGTAAACGGGCAGTTCAGATATAAAGGCTGCTGGTCTCAGTTTTCCTCACTGCTACTGTGCTCTCCTTAAAACGTTGGTTCGGCCACCAACTAACTATTCAGCCAAGAAGCTGGTTGTATGGCACTTCAGAATATTTTGTTGGGCTGTTAAGAGAGCTGTTCGACTTCTGCGGTTCGACGATATACGCGAATATCCTCGACCGCCGAAAATCCATCTTTACAATATATAATGCAGGCGGATAAGGTTAGTCAAAGTACTTGAAAATTAGGTATCATCTCACGCATTTGTTAAAGTGCAGCGAACTTTTGCAGAATAGTTTCGTAAAGCTCCGCTATGGTTTTCGCCGACAATTCCTGTTCTACTCTTCCAGATCCCAAGACATAATTGTTTTTTGTTTTCATTTTTTAGCCCGTATAACTTCCCCTCAAATATTTGTGCGGTCAACAAGTTAAGATCAGGAAAGATTTTCAAATTTAATAAATTTGAGAAACTGAAGATTGCTCATACGCAGTTTCATACGGCTGCATATAAGCGCAGAAATAAGTGATGAATGAATAGAAAATGAATCAAAATGTCATTATCAGAAAGAAATAAAATAAAAGATAATCAAGTCATTAGGAAGAATCTAGATGCGTGATGAAACAATGATTCAGTATAAACGCAAAAATGGGGAAAAAAAAGTTCCTCAATAGTTGGTGTTGCATGCTACTTTAATGCATAAAAAATTTATGAAGCAATATGGTCATTTATTTTCCAATTTTTCCTGTAGATCCGGCTAAAAGAGGAAACATGCTTCGGAAGTCAAGTTTAATCGGGCCGGGTTCATCCCATAATTTTTGATTGCTTAAAAAATCAAAGAAGAAAAGCTTACCAGTCTGCTGCTTATGAAAAAAGAATATAAAAAGTGATGTGGGAAGTTTAAGGTTTTATTGTTTTCAATGACTCATTTCTGCTTCAGAAATATCATTATGAAAACGGCTAGCTGTATTAGAAGAAAAAAGAAAGTTGAAGAAGCTAACATTAAAGTGTTTAGAAGAACGAAAAAACAAATTAACTGTAGAATACTTCAGTGGTTTCAAAAATTTCAAATTTGTAGCACCAAATACTTTACTTTTTTATGTTCAATACTCATTTCTGATCGTTGACTGAAATGTCGTATATATGCAATGTGAGGATCAAAAAAAGAATGGAGAACACTTTTTCCTTCTTCCCTGTCTCCAAAAAAATCAAAAAGTAGTCGAAACGACAAACTGATGCTCCTCTTAAAGGATTACCTATCCAAAAAGTTGACGGGGGTCAGATTAATAAATCAATCCTTAAAAAATCCTTCTGCAAACAAAAAAAAGTTTAGTTGTGATACCCATCATTTTTGGTACAATTCATACCACAGAACTTTTACAAAAACTGGGAAACCTGGAAACCTATGGTGCTCAAGACTAAAAACAATATTCCTGTCCTTTGTTTTAACGACAGTTACACGATAGATCAACAGATACCACAGCTTTTGGCAGTTTGTTGATTGCTGAGAGCTATTAAAAATAAACCATAGGCATTTGATACCTAAGTGCTGTCTGGCTGCCTGTTTTAAACTAATAAAAAAAAACTTTTCGACAGTAGCAATTTCAAAAATTTTCATTTACTTTTTGCTCTGATTGATGCAATAACTTTAGATGATTTTTATTTGAACTGCAATTGCAGCAACAACAAAAACCAATGCCAACACTTTTCTACTAATTTATTTTCTTGCCGATTAATTTAAACTACAGACAGAATTTTTAATTTTTTAACTTCCATTGAAACAATCTGAATTCACTGATATAAAATTGAGCGACAAGACAAAAGAAAAAAAAAAAAGAAATATAAAGGTTTTTTGCAAGATATATTTCAAAACACGCAAAAAGCGCATAGATTTTTCTGTAGATATCCTATAAAAAAGAATCGCTACCCAACAGCTATGACTTCTAAAGCCACAGTTAAAGTGAAATTATATGTAGAAATTTACATTTTTATGACAACACTTCAAAGGGTAGTATTAACACATAAACACTGTTGGAACGCTACAAATTATTCCTTCTACTTTCTTTTTCGACCCTAATCTTCTAGTACCCTAGTGTTGAAGTGAATTAAGGGTAAAAAACTGACCTAATACCACCTATTCTCCTAAATTCTGCAAATTCTGAACACCCCGCTTCTTCTTCACAAAGAACCTTGGGCTCAGAACTTGACCGCTAATTTTTTTTTAGAACCGTTCCTTTTTCTCTTTTGCTTTAGAAAAGTTCTAAAGAACAGAACTAAGGTGCTCTCAAAGATAGAAACTTCGGGCAACTAAAAATCTTGATTAAGCTACTTCCTCTTTCTAACAAACCTTTGCCATGCAAAAACTTTAATAGTGATTATTAGTGTGGTCTCAAAGTTGCCGTCTTTTGCTGCCACAGCAGTAATCCACACTGATGAAATCATTTCGTTCACACACTGAAAATCTGTGGTGCAACCGTCGTTTCTGTCTGATCCACCGCTTCGCCGCCAACAACAGTAATTGCACCTGCAGTACGACAGCTTTGAAGGATGATAATGACCGTATTGTTTGCCATGGCCTGTTTTTCGAGAATTTTAATATACCCAAACAATCTCCTTTCTTTCCACTTTACTGCACATTACATTTTTTCGAAAAGAAAAGAAAAAAAAAAAACAATAAAGAACTTCATAATATGGACTTTCAGTTTCAAATGTCAAACCGCTGCGTGTCAAATCGTGAGCAGCACTTTTTTTCTGGTTTCTTTTTTCAAATTCTCAACAAAAAATTAGCATTATGTTGCCGTTTGAAGACGAGAAAAAAGGATCTAAAGGAAAGAAATACGTGAAACATGGAAAACAATAAAAGATAGAAAGGGAAACGCATGCGGAAAGAATAGTGAACAGAACAATTTACTGAAAAAAGAATAAATGGAAATAAAACTAGAAGAAAAAACAGCATAAATGTACAAAGGAGGAGTATACACAGGAGAAGAAGTGGTCACATCAGAGCTAAATAAACAAATTGTAAGTTATCACAAAAAACTGTAAAAAAGGTGACACACGCCGGGAACAGATTCGGCAAAGCGAAGGCGAGTGAAGCAGTACTCTAGAACTGCTGTGAAGCAAACGACCGGCGACGCAGACCGAAACCAATTGTCCAAACCTTGGTGGTGCCTCCTCTGCTGTTAGCACATGTTCTACTATATAGGCTAACGCAATGACCTCGAAAAACCCGTACTACCGTCATTTCCGGTACACAGTCTTTGTTGCCGATCCCTTAAAGGTACGGAGGGGGACGGACAGTAAAAGCAGATCTTTAATGTCCTGCATCAAGGCATGTAAAAACATGACGAGTCGCCGTGAAAGAGGAACTTTCTACAAAATTGCACAAATGTTGGTTTGATCAGATCTCCGCAACATAAAATTAAATTAGAAAATTAATAAACTGTAAGAGAGACTTTTTTGTTTTTGTTCATTTTAGAACTACCTGTTCAAATGATGGCGCTTCCATTCATAACCAACACAAAACTTCATTCCCCGCTGATTAGGGTCTCCTTTACCGGAGACTATTCCACTCAAAACCTCAGTGGACAAAACCGTACCGTACCATCCGTTATTGCTATGGCCCATTACAGACCCTGCCTACATAACTGAAGTCACTGGTCAACCTGATCTGCCAAGCAAATCGCATATCAAAAATCAAGAACCAACACTACGTTCATTTCTTCCACTTTTTAAAGCTAATTTTTTTTGCCACTAACCTATAAATCTTTTACGTGTAACAAATGCACATCCAAATTTACTACTTCTTTGAGTGCTACCTTAACAAAATAGATGGCACCACCACCTGCCACTGCAGAAACAAACTCAGTTGCAAAGATCACAACCTGCTAAGCAACTTCTTACAAAGAAATTTAAGACAGTACCGCTAAATCGCTTTATCTCAAATTCAGCTTATAACTGCGAATCACTCTGTTCTTCGTTCACGCCTTACTTCAAAAATACTTCTACGACACATACAGACGAACACAACTAGAACAATCTGACGTACCGTTTGTAACTACCTTCTAATACATAATCAAGACACTTACTAGAAAAAAAAAAGCGAAGTAGCTATCAAGTAGCGAAAAAAAAAGCTACTTCCATAGTTCGTACAACTGCTACGTAGTTACTTAACGAAAGACTTCAGTATAATTACGAGTCAGTCTACTCATTTCTCTACAACCGAATAAGCAACAATCAACAATATTCAAAATTAAAATTAGTACATCAAACAAAGCCGAAAAGCAATGGGACTAGACAAGGCACATCATCAAATATTTTACCCAAGAATTAAAGTTTCAAAAACCCTATTACCAAGCTTAATAAAATTACGACCAGAAGAAAAATTTCTGTGCTAAAAACTGCAGTGAACTAGCTTAAAATAGGAAAATTACTAAGCCTGGTAGCGAATAACATCATAACTGTTAAATGGTGAGAACTGCAAATTCATTTTTAATCCCACCAGCACAAAGCTACAGGCAACTTCAGATCCGAAACTTTGACGTAAAACGTTTTAAAATACTCACTCGCTAAAACCTGATAACTAGAATCTACTGGTCCCTTGTGGTTTCTGGTCTTACCCGTCCTAAAAGTACAGTGAGGTCCTTTGATCTTGACGAGTACTGTTCACAATCTGAAGCTGCGTAGCCAAAATAAATAGAAGTGGGAAGAAAAATACAACGAAGCTACATGTTTTAAACAAATCATAAACTTATCATATTAATAAACCAAATGTTCTTACCAGAACAATGTTTTTAAGTACAGGTGAAACCTTTAAAAAAGTGTCATGTTGAAAGCTAAAAAGTCCTTGTATTTTCACAACCGTCTATCTTTCCTGTGAATCAGATAACACCAGTTCACGCTTTGTCTATAAAAAAAATGAGCAAATAAACATCGTAAAAGGACAGACAATACCTCAGTCATTCACTCCAAAAAACTTTTTACTTTTCGGATACTCATTATTGAAATTTTGTTTCGCAAAAAACTTTAGTGTCGTGAGAACAATAAAACTCGCAAATATAAAGTTCGATACCTCATAATTCCGTACAACTTGTTTGGCGTAGCTAACTATACTATCATTAAACCAACTATGCTCCAAGGCGCTCTTAACTGGTATCCTTTCTGCGGTATTGACACGCAGCATTGCCCTTACAAGTTCTTGAGCTTCGGAAGAAATTGTTTTCCAAATCCCCATGAAAATCAATCGACCTTGAAAAAACATTAAAAAGAACGCCATTCAATTTGTAAAAATGATGTACCTTTGCAAATTTGCTGTATGAGCGGCATATCCTGATAACCCTGATTAAACGCCGGATAACCTGCAAGGCAAACGAAGAACACAGCACCAAGTGACCAAACATCGACCATATGATCATAGCGCAACTCTTTTCTGAACATCTCTGGTGCCATGTAAAGTTCCGTACCACAAAAAGACTCCAGCCGAGATGAGAAACCTTTGCTCAAACCGAAATCAGAGAGCTAAAAAGATCCAAAAAAAAACGATCGTTCAAAATAAAAATCACTGTACAGTTTCGCAGGAATTAAAAACCACACACATAAACCAGATTATCAAAACTATTATTCAGGAGTACTTTCACAACTGTATAAGGATCCTTTTTCAACATCAGCACATTTTCTGGTTTGATGTCTCTGTGGACTATTTTGCACTTGTGTAGGTACTGCAATGAAAAGGTGCTATAAGATAACGTGGAAAACTTCACTGCAAAACTGAAAAAAAAAAAGATGGAAACTAGCGCCACCTCAACAGCTTGTAAAAGCTGATATGCGTAAAACTTGGTTAACTTTTCTCCAAGCCCTTTTCCCTCATTCTCTTCGCTTATAATTCTTTCCAAAAGTTCACCACCTTCGATATACTCCATTACTAGATAAGCTGTATCTGGGGACTCACACATATATTCCAACTGAACGCAGTTTGGCTGAATCATATCATTAATTTCGTCTCAAGCAAAATCGCAAATGACAAGATCAAAAGTTCCGTTGAAGTGAATAAAGACTCAACACTAGTCAAAAAACCAACAAGGTTTTCCAAAAATGCTTAAAATGAACATTTTTATGAGTTCCATTTAGTTTTATTTATACAAAGAAAAGCTGTGATGAATGACATAGGATTCTAAAATAATTCAATGATGGCAAGCCCCAAGTGAGAAAAATATCATTATTCATAAAACCCTCGACTTTTACCTACCATAACAAATACAGTGCTCTGTCCGGATGGGTTTCAAAGAAAACAATGAACCGTTACATCGCTCATCTAAATCTGTACTCAAAAATATTCTTATGCTCTTATGCTCCTGCGACAAACCAAAGAACTTCTACCTTACAAGTTTGAAGAACCGAAAGCTACTTTCTGAAAGTCTTAATTCATATTCCAAGCTCAAAATATCAGGATAATACAGCCACAAACCAACATGCTGAATTTGAAGCATTATATCAACTTCACGCTTAATTGACCGTGCAACAGAAGATACATCCACTCCAGGAGCATCCAACCTTTTCTTTCTGACAGCTTTAATTGCGACCTTGTCCAGCTGGTAACTTAACCTTCGCTTACCCAAATAAACCTTTGAATAATTGTATCTCAAAATGAAAATTTCGATTCACGAACTAATTAATAAAAATGTCAACGCTACATGCAAAAAAAAAATCACTGCGCGAGTGACAAATAAAAAATCTGTCCATATCAATTCAAATCAAATGAGCTCACCGTCCCCATGGCACCAACTCCAACAATATGGTTGGATACAAAATACCTTTCAACAAGTTCAGCGGGAAAACTCGATTCTACATGAGCGCACTCGAGGTACATGTATACTGCAAGACAGATGAGAAAAGAAGAATCTACAGAACAGTCATTCACTCAGAATAATAAAACTTGAGAAATTTACCGAAATTTTCTGCATCGCCGACACTTATAATATCCATGTTATTCAGAACACAAATTTTACCCTTTCCCACAATTTTGGAGTTCACGTATGTTCCAAACTTACTACAGTCCGACAAGTATGTGACACTGTTATCAAAGTCCTTAAATGATCCAATGCCAAAAATCAAGCATAACAACAGCTTAATTACGAAGAATACCTAGGAACTACATTAAATCAAAGTTATGTGCACTAAAAAATGACTCTTTTTATGACGCAATGACGTTCACTGATTGTAAGATATGTTCTCCTCGAGGAGCTGAGAGCGCAGAAATCGTAGTGATATCGCATTTTTGGTTTCCGACCAAGTTCAAAGTTTTCTACAAAAAGCCCTAAAAATGCAAAAAGCTATTTTACACCACCATGGTAAGACTTGAAGAAATACCTATTGGATTAAGCCGCTCGTCCATTGGTTCTAGTACTGCATACTTTTTCCGTTTGGTTTCTTCTTCGACAATGCTGCGAGCCTAAAAATACAAATGGAAATGTGATAAAAAGAAAAAATTGTCCAATACAAAAGCAACCCTAAACGCAGAAACTTCTTGAATTTAAAAACAAACTAATTTGCAAAGTAAGCTTGACGGCGATGTAACGATCCTACACTGTTAACTTACAACAAGTGCGCTTCTGAACTCATCATCCTTTTGAGTGGATGCATTTGCATCGTCGTCCTGACTATCTGCTAAATAAAAATTTTCATCGAGAGTTGATGAATCATCCCCACCACAAGTGCGCCCCTAAAAAAGGAAATCAACTGGTACCCCTAAAGTTTTCGGCCTTTATAAACACCTCTGACCGCACTCAAGACCATACTGTGAATAAATAAGCACACTGCCAGAGGGCAAGCAAACTGGCAGCTAGCTGTAAAAGTGACCTTGAGGATTTCTCACACCACAAAAGGAAAATAATCGAAAGTGGAAAAAAATAATCAAAGGCCTTGAAATATACCAACATCTCTTTACTTCAAGCGTTACCACGCAACAACAAAATAACTAAACAATAATAATAAAAATCATACCAATAAATAAACAAATTAAGCAAATAAGTTAACCAACTAATCAAATAACAATAATAAAAACTAAAAAGGAAAATCGAGTGACATAAACGACATGCTAAAAAAGCAGAAAAAAAATTACCTTAGAATTATGCGACATAATACGGCAAGTAATGCAGCCACTATTTCAGCTGAAGTTAGATCAGCAATTTGAAGATTCAGGATAATGAAATGCCACCTGAAACGTCTTTCCTTAGCATAAGCGTCACCAAGTAACTCAACAAAAAAAGATGCAGCACTTAATCTTGAACAGCTACAAGAGCCTCTGATTCTCTAAAAACGAATGAGCAAGTCAGTTGAAAAGCTTTATTAGAAACAAACGGGGATTATCAGTTTTTCAATTAATGAACAAAGATCAGTTTCAACAATCGCAATTTTCTTTAATAAATATTGCAACGAATTTATCAATCGAGTGCCTTTCGCTGTTACAGTAGCTACCTATTTAATGACTCACCATTCCTACCAAACTGTTACCGAGGCTACTCAGCAATTATGAACGTTATCTTTCTCGCCTGCTGATAAAAGCCATTAGCCATTTTGAATTGAAGATTAGAAAATAGAAACCCAAATGTGACCGGTCAGAACTCACCATAGCTTACCACCTCTGACGTATCAAAAGCAAAAAATATGAGCTGTCTAGCAGTATATTTTTATATGGACCACCTCTACCGGAATAATTTTCCGTGCCTCAGTATTCTTTTTGCCACTTCTCTGAACTCTCAAAGAGAACCTTCGGATGGTCTTCAAGCCTTTTCGCTCAAACTTGCAAACAAAATGCGAACAGGTGCCAGTTCATGTTTCAACAGGAAATGACACTCGCAGTAGTGACAGACAGTCTCGAATAATAATAATTCGTAGTCAATATTTTCAATTAACAATCATATAAAAACCAACCCCCCAGCCAAAATTACATGAAATGCTGGAACCATTGAAATGTATCCGACAACGTTAACAGCAGATCCGCTGAATTTCCTCAAACTTTTGCTTTTGCAACATAAAATTTTGACAGCATGTTTCATCAAGCTCCCAATCTGAATATCGCATTTTTCTTCGCACCATTATTACTTGATCAGGAAAGACCTCATGTGGCAAAGCTTCCAACTACCTTCGCTTGTGGATAAGAGTAATATACTACTTATATACTCCTGTCCACCATATTCATGTCGGAGTTACCATAGCATTTGCTGACACACATCCTGCCTCCTTCAACAAGTCCAAAAAACTAATGCATTCAAGGTTCAAACGCTCAAGAAACTGTCATGAACCGTTAATGCAGTGCTGTCGCTCAATGAGTACTTGGAGAAAAAGCTATTTACAAAAAAAAGAAAAAACTAAAACTTCACAATAAGTGCCTTATTTATACCCTTCTACTCCCACCATATTCGTCTATTCACATCCTTAACTAAAAAATTCTCTTCATAGTTCAAAAGAACTTATTTGAACCGTCAAATTCCTTAAACCATCTACTTTTCTCGTATTAAGTTCCCGCAGGTTATCTCCTATAACGATGATAACAATTTGTTTACCATAATAAGACGCGCTCTGTTTTACCTTGCTTTGCTTATTTCTAAACGACTTTTTTCTGCCAACTTATCTTTACTCTCTGTATTCAACACTTTCGGGTGCTCCGGATTGAACTAGCGGTTTCGGAACTTCTCTGCACCTCATAACGTTGTAAAAATCTGGCTTTTAATGCTCTATCATTTTCTAAATGTTCTCGTATACCAGTACTTGTAACAAAGGAATGAAGCAATTTATGTATAAACATTTTGTATTTGTAACTTTTTTGCGGTTCTCAAGCGTTCAAACCTTCATAGCAGATCCTATAACCGCCATTTTTTCTTCTCCTTATAAATTCGCATTTTCGTTCCACTCCATTCGGAGGTAGATGGGACCAGAGATGCAAAATAATGCACCAATTAATTAACTTTTTTGGATAACTTCCATAACAAACCTGGCTTCAACTGCATATCAAGATTTGGTTTTACAGTACAAAGAAGACCTTCGTGTCCGAATGAATTCAAAAAACGTTTGCAAACAATAAAAGCTTGAATACTATGCTAAACCTTCTCCGTTAATGAAACTGTGAAGTTTTTTGGCTTAAAGATACTAAATGCAACCCATAACTAAACATGGCCACTAACTTCCAAATTGTTGAGCAAAAAAAGTGTATATCTATAATTTTTGAATATTATAAGCAAGCACTTGGAGGAACATTTACAAACCCCTCTACCCTGTCCATTAAGTTATTTCTAGCAGAAGCCAAAATTCACTTTTATGACCAGTAGCTAGCGCCGGAAACTCTTAATTTCAATAAATTTTCTGAAATTTAAAAGATGAAGATCGAGCTCCCTAAAACATTGGGAATGAAAATTGATAAGTATTAATAAAACGAAAACCACGTTCTGCAGTGGGGAACCTAAGCGTATCGAGACGTTCTATGCAGAAAAATGTATAATGGCTCCAGTTGATTTGTACCTACCTCTTTACTCACCAGAAGAACTTTTATCTCTATTTTTTTTTTTTTTTTTCTGAAAATCTACCAATGTAACGATCAAAAGTATAGTGCACTCCTAAATCAACCCTAGTCTTAAAATAAATCAAGCAAAGGAATTTAGGCAGATCAAAATGTTCCTTTTATTCGTTGTAAAACGCAACCAGTTATAGACAGATACAGCAAAGCCTGTATTTGCCGTATTTATCTCAATTAATGGCTATCCAAAACCCTCTAAATTCTTAAACTTTGCACCAAATTCTCAAAAGTCAAAAAATTATAGTCCAGTAAACATAAGGGCAATCACTCAAGGATGAACATAAGTGGCACTGAAGGTTTTACAGTTCGTGGGTGCACAAAATAAATACCCCAAGCAGAACTTCAAAAAGAAAGTTTTGGAGATATCACATGTTTGTCCATCCTCAAACACGCCTTTCTTCCGGTCGTCAACATGACCTCATGTTTTGTATAGGGGGTTCCTGATACACCCCATTTCATCTCTAATAGTTCCAAAATTGTCTATATAGCTTGGATAACCTTTTAACAGTATAAAGTTTAAATGTCGCTTTAATCCCTTTGCCGTTTCAAAAAGCGGCTTTCACGTCAGCAGGTGATGTAATGGATATTTCGTAACCATAATCCTAGAAATTTAGAAGATTCACATCAATCTCCGGTGAGGTTCCTCTACTCATATATGATGGTCATTTTGTGGCCTGCTTAAAAGCACCTGTTTAATCACAGAATTCCAATTGAGCACACAGAATCCAAAAAATCCCACTGAGCTTATTTCCTAAAGGAAATCTGCTTTTACCATTTTATAACCTCTCCAGCTGCTTCTTGGTTCAAAAAGGTAGTCAGAGCTTGGGAAAAGTTATATTGAAGAACTCTCAACGAAAATCAAAGAGGTTACGGAATATAGAAATGTAGTAATTCAATTAAAACTATATAAGAGAAGACAGGAAATAGCTAAAACAATGATTCAGAAAAATATGATAAAGATATAACAAAGTTTTCTGCTACTTCGTTTTAACTGTATTGTATTTCTCACAATCTATAGTCGCCTCTACTCAGTTTTGTCGGAATTTTTTTCTAAAGCTTACTTTTTCCACGTTCTGATTGCCTCTTTAAATTAAAAAGCAGCTGGAAAGATTTATAAAGCAGCGGTAGAAGACTCCTTCAAGACATAAATCGACTAACTGCTATGTACGCAGTTAAAACAATATGATTATATAACTATTTTTAGACCAGAAAATGCTCAAAAAATGTAAGTGTTAGTAGAGGGAAGAATCGTTCAGAGGATGGATTTGAATCTTCCAAATTCCTACGATCGCGATTAAAAGAAGCTTGCTGTACCCACTAAGCCATCTAATAACAATGAACACTACCTTTTGAAAAATGGCAAAATGATTAAAGCGACATTTTAGCACTAGACTGTTAAAAAAAAAAAAAAAAGCTTTACAGACAGATCTGAAGTCATCAAAGACGAGATAGGCAGTGTCAAAGAAATCCATATATAAAAATGAAGTTAGGTTGGGGATTAAAAAAAGCGTGTTCGGGAGTAGACACACTGGAATACCAAAATGCTAAGATTTTTTTCCCTTTCTTCTTTCAACGGGAATCCATTCCACCAAAACATAACTGGTTCAGAACTTCCACCAGTCCAGAAACGAAGAATTTGGAATACAACTCCCTGTCGACAAATGCACACCCGTCAACTACAAGGTCCGTACCGAACGTTTTGTTTAAAGCCACATTTACACTTATAAAGAACACTTCAACTTCTAACTTACCTGTTTGTGACGGTCTCAAAACGACGGACTATCCATAGCAGGCTTTAGACTTTCTATCCCGATTCAAGAAAAAAAACTTTCGAAAACTAGGAATAACCATTTAACTAACAGCCACTGTCAACTGCAAAATCGCACTGGCGAACCATGTCTAAATCGAACGACGTTGGACGAGTCGATACGTTGCACGAAGACAAGCAAACGCAAAGCATCTGCGTTTAACGCTGACTTTAAAACGATATGACATTGGGGTCAGGAAACAAAGGATTGCTGGACACACTTTGAAGACCGACACGATGCCAGTCAATTCCGACCATACTCACCTCTTTGCACATACACAGAGGCGGGAAGTGCCTCAGGGTTTCAGAAAATTGGAGAGAAGCTGCTTAAGGACGTTATGCTTTACGGCAGCGTCGGACACATTTTGAAGGCTAGCTCAACGTCAATCGATTCTGACCATACTCACCTTTGCATATATACAAAAGAGGCGGGAAACTCCTCCGGGTTTCAGAAGCTTGAAGAGAAGCTGCTCGAGGACACTTTGCTTCACGCCAGCCTCGCTCGGAAATTACTTTGGATGAAATGGATAACTGCGGTTGAACAAGTTAACTGTCATTATAAGATCGATTTCTGGCTTTGGTAGCTCATTTATTTAGTCGATTAGACAGTTAAAGCTTCTTTTACAAGGTGTTTCATTCGGTTTACTTCTGTTCATTTTAAACTATTTAGTTGACGGAATTCGCACTACTTACTTTCATAGCACTGTAAATTGCAGTTTCGTTACAGAAAGACGAGTTGTTTTTGGGAAATAGCGTTTAAGGTTCTCTCTTTTTTGTTTGATGTTTTGACATAGTATTGCCGTAAACGTGATCACCTGCTGGAAAGGTTCCGCACTCTGTTCGGTCAATGAAACACAAAAAAAATCTGTTTTTTTCATCGTCACTGGCTTTTCAAATGGATGCATTCAAAAGACGAAGTGCTTAAAATTTTATAAATACTTGAAAAATACTGAGGGGATAAGAAGTGCTGCTTTTGCTTTTTAACGGTTCAGGTTGTTATGACAAACCTTATTGGGTAATGTTGGTACACCGGTTATAGGTAAATTGAGATTCTAATCAGTGTGCTTCGCGAAATGGGCAGTAAAGAAGTAAAAAGTTGGTTGTAGAAGAAAGCAGAAAATTTATCTAAAATATTCACTGGGTAAAGGAGAAAAAAATTCATTTATTGGCCTTGATACCATTGGATTTCGCCTGTGGAACGGTGTATCGCCATTAGTAATCGAGAGCCTCTTTTGTTGGTACTATGGTTGATAGGCGCACCAAAACCAGCAAAGAGTTTGCCCAGGCAATTCATCAATTTACGTTACGGCTCTTTTTTATTCTTCTAACTAATTCCTTTTTTTGAACAAAAAAAACCTTGTTACTGCAAAGAATGGTATCTGCTTAGTTCTGGTTTTTTCTTTTTTTTTTTTTTTTTTTAAACAGATTTATTTATCGTTGTCGTCCGACTGGTAGTGGCTGTGAAATCAAATTTTCAGTAATTGGATAATTTTTACATCAAGACATCTTTTTTGCTGCGTAAAAAATTGGTATTACACTTTTAAAAGGAGTAAACTATTCTGAGGTAGTAAAGACCTCAATTCTTGAATTATAAACGTGAAAGTCTCTTATCAAGTCAAAAAGCTTCTGCGGTTCTTCAACCAAAGTTAAGGTTTCAAATAAAGTTTTTTCAAATGGAGGATGTATACTGCGAACTGTTGTTATCTTTGCACAGTAGTTTTTTACTAGACATCATTTTTCTTAGACTGTTATGGGAGTTCTCTCAAACAATGAATTGATCTTCAGAAGCTAGGAAGGAATTTGGTTCCTCAGCAACGAAAATAAGTTGTATTCGAAGGGCGTGAAGCATAGAAATTCATTTCAGACGCAGAATGTTTGAAGAAGAAGGCCCTGAGTACTAATTTACGAGGTATGCAATTTCTCTGACTGAAGTTGAAATTGAAATATTTTAATTTTTATGTGGTCTGCAACTAACTATTTATTTTAGGCGCATTTAAAAACAATAAAACAGCTACAAAAACGTCATCAAAGTTGTTTAGCCAGTGATCTGCAGAACAGTAACAGCCACAGCAGTTCACCATCACTTTTTAAACTTGAGCTTCTCACTCGTGTTGTTGAGAAGTTTTTTAGTTGCTCTATGCTGTTGCTGTCCCTTTTGGCTTTAAAATTAGCGTTCCATAAAGAAAACAAAATTAACCACAATTTATGATTTATTGAGTGGGAGAGCGATTATGAGCTAGTTTAAACTCTATGAAACTTAATATACTTTCTCTAATTTAATAAGAATTCCTCTTAATTGTTCAAAGTGACGCACTATCAAGTAGTTGTTAAGCTTTATGCTATTTCAGTTCATTACAACTGAAAGGAGAAAGTCTGCTACATGAAAAATGAAACGCCGAAAGAGACGATGTAGCAAAAGTACCATTTGTAGCAAAAGTTTTTTTTCTAAATTTTCGTAATTCATTTAAGCCTTATGAAAATGCTTAACTATCCGAAGTATGTGTTCGTGGTGGTTTTCGGGCCGTTAGTAAATTTTGAGCAACTTAGTTCTTCAACCTTTCAAAACTGCTTGGTCGCATGTAGTGAGCAAATTTGGTTTTATGACATCTGTATTATGAACTGGAAAGCGGATCGGAGAAAATGTGGTGCCAAAGTTGAAGGAAATCTGACAGCCCACGCACCACTTCATCGTCCTCACCACATGTCCTTCTAATCGTAGACAGGTAAAGTAGTGGTTTAAGCAATAACTATTAATTTGGTTAGTGAAGCAAGATGAGTTCACTAAATTCCCGCGATCAAGAATATGCTTATGGATATGTAGCGAGCACTGCTTACACGTCACAGTCTCAGATTTGTTACTTCTCCTGGCGAACAGCCAACGGTCATTAAACTTCCCGCCACATAATGGCGTTAAGAGATGCCGTATCCATCGGCTTTGGTCATCGGTAACGTAGCAAACAGATAAGTTTTTAAACACCTATCGCATCATATGTTCTACAGAATAGCGTTGTTTTCTGAAATGTCTGAGTCGCTGTATCAGAAGTTTGTTCTTTTCTAACAATGAGCACGGTTGCAATTCGAATTATTGCAACTCCTACGCAATGTATCGCAGTGTTTTTTGATTCATTGCCACAGTTATTTGTTGTGAATTCGCGGTAGACCTTCTTTGGTCTTTCAAAATCCCAAAAACCTGTGTTTTTCTCCACCAATTTTTCCTATTTTTTGTAGATCTAAAGTCAGCTATATCTGCATCGTCATCGATCGGAAATTCAATTTTTATTCTGTATATTAGGATTTGTGTAAGCAAAGATGACTGTAAAGAAGGCAATTTTTTTGGTTGCAATGACTGCTCATTCACTGCGATTAGGTTCTTACCAATGTGGTTCCATCAAATTATTCTTTTAGTAAGTAAA